TATGTATATTTATATGTATATATATATAGAGAGAGAGAGGAAAGTGATACCTATGCCAAAATAGCCATTAGGGCGCAGACGATAGGCATTCGGGTATCCTAGCATCCTGCAGACAACTTCTGCATCCTTCAAGTCGAAACCGTTGTGACAGACTGTGCCCCATCTGGAACTGTCGGCCGGCCGGACTTCCACACGCCCCTCGGTTGGGCCGGAACCTTCGACAAGACGGATTCTACTGACATCTGAAAATAAAACAATCCTCATATAAATGATATTATAGTAAATACATAATTCTTTTTATTACAACATTGAATTGCTGTTCATCATGTTACGATGCTAAATTTTCTTCCAACATAAAGGATCAGATTTTCTGCAATCACTGTCGCCTTTATGATAATAATTATTGACCAATCACTTGCATATATTACACCCGCGAGAGCAATGGTTACAGACAAGTGACCTTATTCACTTCACGGATACGTGACGTCTGCAAACGTAATAGAGACGGAGGACGATATAAATTCTCAGTCACGTTTGATGCATTGATGACGTCACATATCAGTTAAGTCTCGTAAGGTCATGTCTATGTAACCGTAACTCCCGCTAGTAAGTGATTGGTCATTAACTATCCTGATGAAGGTGAATTATAATCGTTGAAGATTTGGTCCTTGTGTACCATCTGTGTTAGAATGAAGCTTATTCTAGTACTATGTATTGCTCTTTGTCAACTAAAGGAAACGCGCTGCATGGGATGCTTGGCATTCAACATTTTTAATTCAAGTTTACAAAACTTACATTTCCTACATATACCTTCTCGAGTGATGTTTCCAAAAAGCCACAAACTAAATTGCACCTGCAGTTCCAAAAATGGCTACTATGGAACCTCGTCCAATTGGTCGTGAGGCCGAGAGATATCTTCCATCCAACATTCACGTCCCTAGCAAAGTCTTATTTCTTTGACAGGTAAAACTTTACAAACACCCCATTTTATAACAATCTATCAGTTACTTCTTGAGATATTGTGCTTAATCACACCCAATCATCTAAACGCTACCAAAATCATATTTAACCTCCTTCTTCTTCTTTTGCGGTAATGCCCATCTGCCGTCTTTTCGTGGGAAATACAGAACGTGGATTCGCCAGGCCTCCGTGGAGGTAATTTGTCGCGAATCACCAACTTGCGTGCCCCTACTCTTTTTCGAAAGCTGTGGTGGGGTGTGGATCTCCCCAAACACGGACCCTCCATTTTACGTCCTATCCGAGGGACGTCCCTAACCAAAGTACTCATTTTGAGTGAATTGAGGAAAGCCGTGTTAATTGTTTTTGCACGACGCGACGCCACCAGTCTAAGTGCATGTGAAGCACCATATATAGCGCTGGGGTACATTTGTACCCAAGTACGCTGAGTATACGGATGAGAGTAACATGAACGTACCTGTACGACAGACCACGCCTGCATCTTGGCCATGATCACAGTCGTGAATCGTCCACCCTGCGTAAGGGCAGTCAAAGATGCTGCTCTCGTTACCATCACATCGTAGGTCAGCCATGTAGATTGGTCCTGTTCCTGTGTTGCAAAATTGGGCATCAGAAAGTCCCAAAAAAATCAATCTTAAAGATATAATATTTAAAAAAAAAGATCAACTTAACCAACAAAATGGAGATCTTACCTTGGCCAAAATACGCGTCATTTCGAACCTGGGTAGCGTTTGGATAACCCAGCATTCTACAAATCACGTCTGCATCCTTCATGTCAAACTGGTTGTGGCAAACTGTGCCCCAGTTCACACTGTCCTCTGATCGGACTTCCACACGTCCTTCGTTCGGGCCGGAACCACCGATTAGACGGATTCTGCTGGTATCTAAATATATTATCAAACATATACACGTATATACATGGTGGAAATTGAGGTAAGAACTTGCAACGTAGTATGGGTTATAAATCATGTACAAATAAAACGTGAGGTTTTAAATCTTCGCAGTCGACTATACATATTCATTTGTAGTTTGGCGGGCAGTGGTCTTGAAAGGACAAAGGGGGTTAAATCATCTTTATTTCAATTAGAATATTCAATATGAAAGTTCCTTGATTAAAGCCCACTTGTAGGTCAGTCTTTTATCTCTAGCTGTACTTAGAAGAGGAGGGCGCAAGGCAAGTAAGACAAATGTTAAAAGTTATCGTGCATCGGACATTTTTGTGTTTCAATTTGTTGTTTTATTGTTTTATTTTATCCAATCTAAGCATTGGTATTTATAATAAATACTTTATCAATGTACCGCAGACAACGCTGGCATATATGGNATTTTTGTGTTTCTAATTTGTTGTTTTATTGTTTATTTTATCCAATCTAAGCATTGGTATTTATAATAAATACTTTATCAATGTACCGCAGACAACGCTGGCATATATGGCACAGACGTGACTCTCCCATCCTGCGTACGAGCACTTGAACAGGCTAGTCTCGTTCCCATCACATCGTATGTCAGCCATGTAGGCCAGCCCGTACTAAAAAACAATATTTGAAAGATTAAAAATGTAGTTATCATAGAAACAATGTAGTTATCATAGAAACAGACAAAAAGGGCTTAAATGAGTCGAATGCGAATACGCAAAGAAAGTAGTTACGTGAGACAACAGAAGAAGAGTCGTAGACGTACCTGATTCTGTTAATGAGTAAAAGCGGTTTGCCCAGATATAGCCCAGCATCCTGCAAACAACGTCTGCGTCCCTTAGGTCGAAGTGTTCAGCACAGACTCTGCCCCAAGTCCAACTGTCGGCCGGTCGAACTTCAACAAGTCCTTCGTCTGGTCCGTTAATCCAACGCCAGGGAACAAGACGGATTCTACTGGAATCTAAAGGTATTTCCTTTTAATATCAATCAGTTTATGCAAATGTTAGCTAATGGCTAATTTTAAATGACGAGATTATTACAGTTCTTTAATTTGATACTTTTCTAGAAATACCACTTAAACTATGTATTTAGTAATGTTTCTAATAGACTCAGTATTTTAGAGGCCCGAAGTTAAAAATTTCCCTCAATATTTTAGGAATAAGCCCTTAATTCGTCCTAGTCTGGAATATGCAGATGTAATTTGGCATGGCCGTACAACCGGTCAATCCACCCTTGCTGAGAGATTCAATAAGAAAGTTCCCTTCTTGTGCTCCTCTTGTGCTCAGCCGACGTTTCGGTCACCTTCCTCTGACCGGTAGGCCAACGAGTTTTGTTGAAATTGTTGTTTCTCAATGAACACCCGTTCTGTTGAATCTTCCCTATATATTTTTATTATACAGAGAGAGAGAGGGGGAGAGAGAGGGAGAGAGAGAGAGAGAGAGAGAAGGGAGAGAAGGGAGAAA